AGGACAGGGGAAGCGCCGATGACTGGAGGAGGGCTAACGTTGTCTCCATCTTCTAGAACAGAACAGAACCAGGGCACTACAGACCAGTCAGTCTGACATCAATCCCTGGGAAAATTCTGGAGCTAACATTTGGAAAATAGCGCAGTCATTACTAGAAGCCAACATGAATTTGTCAAGAACAAATCCTGACAGACTAATCTGATTCCATTAGTGAACTGTGGGAATGCTGTGGACATAATCTATCTTGACTTCAGCAACACTATTGACAAAGTTCCCCATGAACTCCTGACTGGCAACAAGCTAAAAGCAGACTGGATGGAATGACAGTTGGATGGATCCTCAGTTGGCTGCAGAATCAGACTCAAGGGATGCTTATCAATGGCACCTTCTCAGACTGGAGAGGGTTAACAAGTGGGGTACCACAGGGTTCAGTCCTGTGCCCAGGGCTCCTCAACATTTTCATTAATGACTGGGAAGGGGAAGAGCAAGGAATGCCTATCAAATTTGCAGATGACACAGAACTGGGTGGGGTAGCACCGCTAATAGCCTGGACAACAGAAATAAGTTTCAAAATTTCCTTTCTTTTCTTTTATAACTTTTCTTTTATAACTTCTTTATATCGTTTATATTTCTTATTTATTTTATAATATTAATTTTAATTTTATATTGTTATTTTTGTATTGTATTGTATTTTATTGTGTTGTAAGCCACCCCGAGGCTTCGGCAAGGGGCGGCATAGAAATGTTCTAATAATAATAATAATAATAATAATAATAATAATAATAATAATAATATGATCTTGCTAGGTTGGAGCACCGGATTGAAAACAACAGAATGAAATTCATTCTGGATAAGGGCCAAATTCTGCACCTGGAAAAAGAAACCTAATGCATCTTTACAAGATGGAGAATACTTGGCTCAACAATATGGCCAGTGAGAAGGATCTTGGAACCATTATAGCTCACAAGATGAGAATGAGTCAACAATGTGATGGTGGCTGCTCAAAGGGCAAATGTTATATCGGGCTGCATCGCTTCCAAGTCAAGTGAGGCCTCATCTGGTGTGCAGTTTTGGGCACCCCAGTTTAAAAAGATGCAGAGAAGCTGGAAAGTGTCCGGAGGAGGGCAACAAGGATGATCCAGGGACTGGAAATGAAGCCCCGTGAGGAGGGATTGAGAGAGCTGGGCATATTCAGCCTCCAGCAGAGAAGACTGGAGATAAGAGGCTGTCACAAAGGAGGAGGCCAGGATCTCTTCTCAAGCATCCCAGAGTGCAGGACACAGAATAATGGGCTCAAGCTACAGGAATCCGGGTTTCAGGTAGATCTCTGGAAAAGCTTCTCAAGTGCTGCAGCAGTCCTGCAACAAAGCTGGTACCCCAGGGAGGTGGTGGGTTCTCTCACACTGGGGCACGCAAGGTACAACCGGACAGTCAATCGAGAGGGGTGGGTTTGGCTCTCCGGCCCCTTCCAGCTCTACTATTCTGTGATTCCACGAAGTGTGCAGACGAAGGAAGCGGGTGTTCGCCAAGGCCCTGAACTCCCTTTGTTGCTGCCATCAAGGGAAACTGGTTAACCTGCTCCAAGCAGCATAGGAAGAGCCCAGGTGGTGCAGTGGTGGAGAGTCCTGGAGCTCTGGGTTCGAGTCCCCACTCAGCCACAAGGCTCACAGGCTGACTTTGGGCCAGCCACAGACTCTCAGTCCAACCTACCTCACAGGGTGGTTATGAAGGTAAGATTGAGATTGTGCGTGTGTGAGACAGAGAGAGCCAGAATGAGAGAGGGAGTGGCTGGTCAAAAGGAAAAGATAATCACTTCCAGAAGTCACACATTTGAAAGGTCACACAAAATGTGCAAACTTCTAAGATCTCTAGACCTTTGCTGGACAAGATGCTATTAAAAAACACCTGCTCGGTCAGGGAAGGCAGCCTCAAAGACTTGGTATCTTCAATACCATCTCTCCACCCCTCACCACACACACACGTGCACAAACCTTCTCTACTCTGGGAAGAGACCTGGCATTCATAATGGCTTGGACATTTTGCACAACCTCCGAGTTCCCTTGTGAAAGCGTCTGGCCCTTTATTTAAACAAGGTGATTATTTCCCCTGCATTCATTCTGCACTGCTGCGATCCACAGATCTTTGTCGGAATGCAGCAGAATAGCTGTGCAACTGGGAGAGCCTCTTTCTCAGAGAGAGATGCACTCAAACGGATGGCCAAGCAGCGCAGGGGCTTTATGCCCTGTGTTCCAAGCGCCCTGCATTTCCGTGCGCCACTTGTGAACAGATGTATTTCATCTGCAAAGTACATTTGGTCTTCTGCCCACCCACCACTCCCTCCCTGCAACCTGGAAGTGGGGCTCTCAGTGGGAAATGCCTTGCAAGGGCGAGCCTCGGCCATGCTGCTCTCTTGCAGTTGTTGTTGTTGTTAGTCGCGGTGGTGTCTGACCCATCCCAACCTCATGGACAACACTCCTCCAGGCCCTCCTGTCCTCCACCATCCCCCAGAGTCCACCCAAGCTCAGGCCCACTGCCCCAGTGACCCCATCCAGCCACCTCATCCTCTGCCATCCCCTTCTTCTTCTGCCATCGATTGCTCCCAGCATTAGGCTCTTCTCCAGGGAGTCCTTCCTTCTCATTAGATGGCCAAAGTATTTGAGCTTCGGCTTCAGGATCTGGCCTTCTAAAGAGCAGTCAGGGTTGATCTCCTCTAGGACTGACCGGTTTGATCGCCTTGCGGTCCAAGGGACTTGCAGGAGTCTCCTCCAGCACCACAATCCAAAGGCCTCTGTTCTTCGGCGCTCAGCCTTCCTTATGGTCCAGCTTTCACAGCCATACATTGCAACTGGGAAAACGATAGCCTTGACTATATGCACTCTTGTTGGCAGGGTGATGTCTCTGCTTTTTACTATGCTGTCTAGATTTGCCATAGCTTTCCTCCCCAGGAGCAAGCGTCTTTTAATTTCTTGGCTGAAGTTCCCATGAGCAGCAGAGCAGCAGAGGCACAGGCTGGGAGAGAGCGCTGAGTGGCCAGGGGACTGGCGAAGGCAAGGGAGGGGCTGGGCAGGGGAGCAGAGGGCCAAGAGCTGCAGAGCAGAAGGGGGTGGGGCCAGAGGGACCAGGAGGGAGCAGGGGGCGGGGCCACCGGCCGGAGGGACTGATAAGGCCGCGCTTGGCCACTGCAAGCCCTTTTGGCTCTGGCCTCTTGGCGTCAATGCTTGTCTGCATCCTGTGGCTGTGGTTCAGGCTGTCCGGGGACTCCCTTTCCTGAGACACAGAGGTTTATTTGTTCGTTTCTTTGTTTTTGTGCTATGCTTTGGTTTGTTTTTCTTCCAATTTAAATTTAAGTTTATTTTATCCTTGTGTGTGTGTGCGAGTGGGAGAACTGGGTGAATGAGAGGAACTGCAGAGCTAACAAGGCAGGGGACCAAGGCAAGGCTCGGAAGGGATCCCGATGGCAGGCCAGGAGGTGGCCTTGGCGGGAGTCACGGGTGTTGCTGTCCACTGAGAGTGCTGCGACATGTTCGCCCTTCTCCCCCGGGAAAGGCACGGATACACTTGCCCTCGGTGAAGCTGGTGGCCCTCCTGGAGGAGGAGGTGAGGTGCCCAAGGGCTGAGAGAGGCCTCCAGACCCCCCGGGAGCAGTCCCCCTCTGGACAGAGGGTTGAGGGAGAGGCCACGGGAGGAGCAGCCCCAGAGACATGGAGGCATGTCACCCACAGGAGGAGGAGGCCAGCACAGCCTCCTCCTTCCCTGGTGCCTATCTGCAGCTGGAAGCAACTTCTCTCCGCTTGGGGAGGCTGGGGCTGATGAGGCCTCGGGGGACCAGCAGGACCCCCAGCCTGGGACGTCAGGCGGCAAGGGGGCCGCTGCAGGAGAGGCGAAGGCCGGGGCATGGCCGCCCACCACCACCGGGAAGACACGGTGGCAGGTGATTGTTGTTGGGGACTCCCTGCTGAGGGGCACTGAGGAGGCGGTGTGCTGCCCTGACCCCGAGGCAAGGGAGGTTTGCTGCCTGCCGGGCGCACGCATCCGGCACGTGATGGACAGAGGGGAGCGTCCTGTTCGCTCCGGGGGTCACCAGCCGCTCCTGGTGATCCATGTGGGCACAAACAATGTGGCCAGGCAGAGGGTGGGCAGGATCACCAGGGACTTCAAGGCCTTGAGAAAGAAACTCGGAGAGCTAAAGGCCCAAGTGGCCTTCTCGTCGATCTTACCAGTCCGGGGATTTGGGCCAGGCAGGGCCTCCTAGGTGAACAACTGGCTTAGGGTGTGGTGCCAGAAGGAACGCTTCGGGTTCCTTGACCATGGCACCCGGTTTCTTGCCAATGGACGGGTTACACCTCATGAGGATGGGGAAAAGGTCCTTTGGAGATGCTCTAGTGAACTTCGTCTGGAAGACTTTAAAGTGACCCCGGGGGGCGGGGGGGTTCAGGCCCCCCAGTAACGTGTCTGCACTGTGGGGGGGAGGTTCAGGGCTCTGGGAGCAGGGTCTCAGAGTTACTGCAGGGACCGACAGGACTCCTTCAGAGAGGGGCCAGGTATCAGGGAGGATGGGAGGCAGGAGGAGGCTGGGGACTCCAAGGAAAGGAAGCGGTGGGAAGGAGTTGAGGTGCACGTATACCAATGCTAGGAGCAAGGGTAACAAGCAGGAAGAGCTGGAAGCTCTCCTGGGAAGAGGAGGGTCTGATCTGGTGGGAATCACAGAAACTTGGTGGGATGAAAGGCAAGTCTGGAATGTAAACATAGAGGGGTATCACCTTTTTAGAAAGGACAGGAAGGGAAAGAGGGGTGGGGGCGTAGCTTTATACGTCAGGGAAGGGATAGGATGCAGTGAGATAGGATGCAGCGCAGATGGGGATTCGGTAGAGGCAGTCTGGGTGAAACTTAGGGTTTTTGACAGGGAAAGAGACAGGACAGTGGGGGTATGTTATCGCCCTCCAGGTCAACTTGAGATGCTGGATGATGTCCTGACAGACCAGATTCTAAGGATATCTCAGGGGAGAGACAGTAATTATGGGAAACTTCAATCTCCCGGATATTAGTTGGGAGACTCACTCAGCGGTGACAGCCAGGTCACGTCACTTCCTAGAAGCTATAGAGGGAGGGTTTTCCACACAGAGGGTCCGAGAGGCGACGAGGGGGGGAAACATCCTTGACTTGGTCTTGACCAATAGGGAGAAGCTGATAGATGAAGTACAGATTAGGGGAGCTCTGGATGCAAGTGATCACTCCATCCTTTGCTTTGAGATCAGGGGACTGGGGACGTGCAGCAGGTCGAGCACTAGAAGCTGGGACTTCAAGAGGGCCAACTTTGGCCACTGAAGGTCAGACTGGGCAAAGCCTCCTGGGATGGGTTACTGGAAGGCAAGCGAGTTGAGGCGGGGTGGGTGGCACTCAAAATGGAGGTTTTGGAGGCGCAAGCCTTGACGATACCTCTAGTCAGTAAGGTGGGGAGGCGGAGGAGAGGCCGCCATGGATGCAAAAGGAGGTGGTTAGAGGGATTAGACGAAAGAGGAACCTCCGCAGGAAATGGGCACTGGGGCAAATAGACAAAAGGGTATACGGGGAGGAGGAGGCGCGTTGCAGAAGGATTCTTCGCAAGGCTAAGGCTGATTACAAGCTGAGACTTGCCAAGAATATCAAGAGCAACAAAAAGGGCTTCTATCAGCATGTAAATAGGAAAAGGAAGGGGAGACAATTGGTGGGACCACTAAATAAGGAGGAAGGAGATCCAGTGACTGATATGAGGGAACAGGCACAGATGCTAAATGACTGTTTTGCCTCTGTGTTCTCCCCAAAGCAGGACGGGGGATATCCGCATAGGAGATTAGATGAGGCTGGGGAGTTAGGGGCACAGATTAGAGTCACCCCCCTTGAAGTCGAGGGGCTCCTCAGGGCATTGGATATTACAAGGGCACCAGGCCCTGACGGGTTACACCCGAGAATACTTAGAGAGTTGGTTCTCTCATGCCCGCTGGCCTCCGTTTTTGAGACCTCGTGGAGAATGGGTGAAGTTCCAGAGGACTGGAGGGTGGCTTCAGTGGTCCCAAATTTCAAAAAGGGTAGTAGAAAGGACATGGGGAATTGTAGACCTATTAGCCTTACGTTCATTGTAGGAAAAACAATGGAAAGGCTCATAATAAAGAGAGATCTAGTGTTGCTAGATAGGGAAGGGAGGCTAACAGACACACAACACGGCTCCCACAAAAACAGGTCCTGCCAGACAAACCTTGTGGAATTCTATGACAAGGTTTCAAGATGGCTGGATGGAGGGGATGCAGTGCATGTGGTATACCTAGATTTCAGCAAGGCCTTTGACAAAGTGCCCCATGATATCCTGGTGGAGAAACTGAGCAGTTTTGGGATACACCAAAGCACTGTCTGGTGGATTAGGGCATGGTTGACTGACCGAAAGCAGAAAGTTACTATTAGCGGGAAATCATCGGGATGGCGGCCAGTGACAAGCAGGGTCCCCCAGGGCTCTGTTCGGGGGCGATCCTGTTTAATCTTTTCATTAACGACATGGAAGAAGGGGTGAACAGTCTGCTGATCAAATTCGCAGACGACACTAAAGCTGGAGCAGTGCCCACAACTGAGGAGCAGGTACTCCAGATCCAAAAGGTTCTGGACAGACTATGGAAGTGGGCAGGAGACAACAGGATGGCGTTCAATGTGGGTAAGTGCAAGGTCTTGCACTTGGGGCATGGGAATGGGTGTCATAAGTACAGGTTAGGGGACAAGTGGCTGGAGAGCAGCACTTGTGAAAGGGACCTCGGGGTGCTGGTTGGCTGCAGGCTGAACATGAGCCAGCAGTGGGATGCGGTGGCCAAGAGGGCGAATGCCACCCTTGGTTGCATAGCCAGAAGTGTGGCTTCTAGATCAAGAGAGGTTTTACTATCATTCTATACGACTCTGGTGTGCCTACAACTGGAATATTGTGCTCAGTTTTGGGCCCCTCATTACAGAAAGGATATAGCCAGGTTAGAGTCAGTGCAGCGTAGGGCCACAAGGTTGGTGGCCGTTTTGCAGGGGATACTGTATGAGGTGGGACTGAGGGAACTGGGCCTCTTCAGCCTGGAGAAGACTCAGAGGGGATCTGTTGGCGACATACAGGTGTGTGAGGGGTGTCACACGGAGGTGGGGAGAGACCTGTTCTCCCCTGCAGAGGAAGGCAGGACGCGCTCCAACAGAGCAAAGCTCAGGGAACCCAGGTTCTATTTGGATGCCAGGAAGCAATTCCTGACAGTCAAGACCCTGAGGGTGTGGAATGGGCTTCCACGAGAGGTTATTGAGGCCCCATCGGTGTGGGTGTTCAAGGATACGCTGGACGTCCACATGGTGGGCATGTCGTGAGCAGGGCTGGCTGGTGCGGGAGGTCAGACTGGATGGCCTGGGAGACCCCGTCTGACTTGCTCTGTTTCTATGTTTCTATGTATTTGCCAGGAAGTGATATGACCGGATGCCATGATCTTAGTTTTCTTAATGTTCACTTTCAAGCCAACTTTTGCACTCTCCTCCTTCACCCGCATCAAGAGGCTCTTTAGTTCCTCTTCACTTTCTGCCATTAGAGTGGTATCATCTGCATACCTGAGGTTGTTGATATTTCTCCTGGCAATCTTAATTCCAAGTAGTGATTCATCCAGCTCTGCCTTTCTCATGATGTGCTCTGCATATAAGTTAAATAGGCAGGGTGACAGTATACAGCCTTGCCGAACTCCTTTCTCAATTTTGAACCAATCAGTGGTTCCGTGCCCAGTTCTCACTGTTACTTCTTGACCCACATACAGGTTTCTCAAGAGACAAATAGGATGGTCTGGTATTCCCATCTCTTTAAGAACTTGCCACAATTTGTTGTGATCTACACAATCAAAGGCTTTCGCATAGTCAATGAAGCAGAAGTAGATGTTTTTCTGGAACTCCCTAGTTTCCTCCATGATCCAGCGTATGTTGGCAATTTGATCTCTAGTTCTTCTGCCTCTTCGAAGCCCTGCCTGTACTTCTTGGTCCACATACTGCTGGAGCCTGGCTTGTAGAATTTGGAGCATAACTTTGCTAGCATGTGAAATAAGTGCAATGATGTGGTGGTTTGAACATTCTTTGGCATTGCCCTTCATTGGAATTGGAATGTAAACTGACCTTTTCCAATCCTGTGGCCACTGCTGAGTTTTCCAAATTTGCTGGCATGTTGAGTGTAGCACTTTTACTGCATCGTTTTTTAAGATTTTGAATAGCTCAGCTGGAATACTGTCTCCTCCACTAGCTTTGTTATTGCTCAGGCTTCCTAAGGCCCATTTGGCTTCACATTCCAGGATGTCTGGCTCGAGGTCAGTGACCACCCCATCATGGTTATCGGGGACATTAAACTCTTTCTTGTATAGTTCCTTTGTGTAATCTTACCACCTCTTCTTAATCTCTTCTGCCTCTGTTAGGTCCTTGCCATTCTGGTCCTTTATCATGCCCATGTTTGCATGAAATCTTCCCTTCATATCTCCAATTTTCTTGAAGAGATCTCTGGTCCTCCCTATTCTATTGTTTTCTTCTATTTCTTTGCACTGTTCATTTAAGAAGGCATTCTTATCTCTTCTAGCTATTCTCTGGAATTCTGCATTCAATTGGGTATATCTTTCTCTTTCTCCCTTGCCTTTCACTTCCCTTCTTTCCTCAGCTGTTTGTAAAGCTTCCTCAGACAGCCATTTTGCTTTCTTGCATTTCTTTTTCTTTTGGATGGTTTTAGTTGCTACCTCTTGTACAATGTTGTGAACCTTCGTCCATAGTTCTTCAGGCACTCTGTCTATCAGATCTAATTCCTAAAATCTATTTGTCACCTCTACTGTATATTCATCAGGGATATGATTTAGGTCATACCTGAGTGGCCTAGTGCTTTTCCCTACTTTCTTCAATTTAAGCCTAAATTTTGCAACCAGAAGCTCATGATCTGAGCCACAGTCAGCTCCTGGTCTAGTTTTTACTGACTGTATAGAGTTTCCCCATCTTTGGCTGCAGAGCACATAGTCAATCTGATTTCTGTGTTGACCGTCTGGTGATGTCCATGTGTAGAGTCGTCTCTTGAGTTGTTGAAAAAGAGTGTTTGCTCTGACCATTGTATTCTCTTGACACAATTCTACCAGCCTGTGCCCTGCTTCCAAGGCCAAACTTGCCTGTTTTTCCGGTTATTTTCTGGCTTCCTGATTTAGCATTCCAATCCCCCATGATGATAAGGACATCATTTTTTGGTGTTATTTCTAGAAGGTGTTGTAGGCCTTCATAAAACCCGTCAACTTCAGCCTCTTCAGCACCAGTGGCTGGGGCACAGACTTGAACTACTGTGATGTTGAATAGTTTGCCTTGGATTTGAACTGAGATCCTGCTGTAATTTTGGAGATTGTATCCCAGTTCTGCTTTTATTGACTATGAAGGTTACTCCATTTCTTCTGAGGGATTCTTGCCCACAGTAGGATACCTGATGGTCATCTGAATTAAATTCACCCATTCCTGTCCATTTTAGTTCACCGATTCCCAAGATGTCGATGTTCAGTCTTGTCATCTCTTGTTTGACCACATCCAGCTTGCCTTGATTCATGGATCTTACATTCCAGGTTCCTGTGGAGTATAGATCTTTGCAGCATCGGACTCTCCTTTCACCACCAGATACATCTGCAACTGAGTGTCCTTTCGGCTTTGACCCAGTCGCTTCATTCTTTCCAGCACCACTCATACTAGCCCTCTGCTCTTCCCCAGTAGCACACTGGACACCTCCTGACCTGAGGGGCTCATCTTCCAGCGTCGTATTGTTTTGCCCTTTGGTACTGTCCATGGGGTTTTCATGGCACGGGTACTGGAGTGGGTTGCCATTTCCTTCTCCAGTGGAGCTTGCAGTTACTCGTGGCCAAATGCATTCATTCATCTGCTGATTTTGTTTCGCAACAGCCTGTCTCCTACTGTTCCAAGGACCAAAGAGGATGATTTGAATATCTTTGGGGGGAAAGTGAATCACTGAAAAAGTCCTATGGATCCTAGAGCCTGCCAGGGTGGCCAAAGGGTTTTCTGGAGGTTGGAGAAAGCAGCAACTGAGTAGCAATCCCCCTTCACCCCACAGCTGGCACAGAAATATCTGTGCTAGTGGTGTCTCCAAGATCATAGCAGGGACCTCATGGATGGGGTCTAGGCCTGCCTTCCCCAACCTGGTGGCTTCCAGGCATGTTTGGACTTCAGCACCCAGAATTCCCCGTCAGTGGCAGTACTGGATGGGAATTCTGGGAGTTGCAGTTGCAGTCCAAATGCCTCTGAAGGCTACCAGGCTGGGGAAGGCTGATCTAAGAGATGTTCCAGAGTAAGGTGGACAACAGGTGCCTGGAGACACTAAATATTGTAGCTCGATACCTCAAACTACTTTCCCTGCATTCTAATACATGCTGCGTTTGGGAACTGGAAGGAGCATGGAGTTGACCTTCAACTCCACACCCCTTCTGCCCAGCACTGGATGCCCACGACTGTCCAGGCGGGGTGGTTGCAGGCACCTGGGCTGGGCACACCCTAAATGCATCCAAATGAATCTCATCCAGCATGGGAAGAAGAGCAGCTGCAGTCCATCACAGCATCCAGATGTGCACAATGAGTTTTGGGCCTGCCCTGACAAGGCTAGCTAAACTCCCCCTTTCCCATGCAAGTTGACCGGGTTGCACAACTCCAGAAAGGGGCCCTTCTCTTACTGCTGCCACCATCAGGGCGTGGTGTTTGGAGATGCAAGGTGGCCCCTCCCAGGAGCCAACAGAGCTCGCTACCCCTGGCTGGGCCCCCTGTCCTTCCCCCAGTGCGCAAAGTATATTCATTTAGGCAGGTGTGCACGTTGGTCTGTCACTTGGGTGCCATTTCTTGCTTGTGCGCTTGTGTCTTTGGTAGGCTTTTGGCATTCTCGGGCTTTGTCCCATGCTTGTCTGAACTATGTTTTCACTTTAAAGGTTCGTCCTTCGGGATTTTTGCCACCATCAGCACTGTGGGAGAAGGACAAGGAAGAAATCAACCCATGCTTTCTCCCGCCCTGAATGGCTAACGGCTCTCTGGTGTTTCAGACCGCAGTTTTTCGCAGCAGTACCAGGAGGTGCCGAGGACTGAACTGGGCAGGTTTGCATGCAAAGCAGGGCCCCTGCAGCCGAGCGCCGGGCCTTGAATTGGTACTTGCGTCAAGTACCAGTGAGATGCCGCACAGCACTGGGAGCCTATTATATCCATGCTGAAAGATCTGGAACTTGCTTACTAGGGGCAATTCAAAGTGGTGGCTCAATGCCATAAAAAGCTTAGGGCCAGACGGGATCTCTTCTTTTGGGATGCAGCTGCCTGCGCATTAAAATCTGCAGGAGAGGCCCTTTTGAGATCCGTGTGTCCCAGAGAGCCACTAGTTGGGCAGGTGCGAAACAGCTTCTCCTGTCTTGCTCCCTCACTGCGGACTGGGCGCCCCCCGCCCGCCCGCCCCGGGACTATGGTCAGGCCCTGCTCCCTTGCCCTTTAGAAAGGGGGCAGAGCTTCCTTTCCATTTGGCCTTTTCAAATGCTTTTACTGTTCCAAGGCTTTTGTTCACATTGTTTTCAGGCTGTACAGCTTTCAGCAATCGCCTCCCTCAGTGGCTTTTTATCTGGCTCTTACTCTGCATTCGTATTCTGCTGCTTTTGTGCCTCATGTGAGGAACCCAGGGCACCTTAAGGGTCTTTTATCCTTACAACAACCCTGTGAGGGAGATTAGCCCAAGAACTGGGAACTTGCCCAAAGTCAGCTGATGAACTTCAGAAAGGAGTGGGCGCTTGAACCTGAAACCCCCAAATGCCAATCTAATGCCCTAACCATTAAGAAATACTGCCTCTCAACCTGCACACATGTGCGCGTGCACATACACACACATCGAGAAAGCAATATATTTCGGTGCCTGGCCCCAGCAGGGAGAGACGTGGCCAGACCAACCAAATCAAATACAGAAAATCACGTGGAGGCTGAAATCTAGGGATATTTTTGCCCCAGATCCACAGATGCACGTTCATGGACAGACACCCCATTGCGCAGAGGATGGGACCCCCCCCCCCCGGCCAGCTCCGCTCCTGGCGATTTAGGAGCAATTCCTCACGCACACGCAATATCGCGATGCCATGTATTACGGCTGTCCTGGTTAAGTCTCTCAATCTGCTTCAGTAATACAGAGAATCGAGAAGGCTAGCTTGGCCGAATCCCACCTCGCTGAGGCCAGATTAAAGCAGATGATCCGAGCTTTGTGGCTCCCACAATCCGAGAGAGGGTCAAAGGTAGCGCACAAGAAGAGCCGTGGAGGCAGACATGCGGCGGGTATTTGGGGGGCTGTCACGGCTCTCTCCGTTGGCTTTCTGCCCCAACATCACTGCACAATCCCCATCCACACGGAGCTGTGGGTGCCCAAGGCCCTGAACGCCCGTCCCCAGGCCCCAAGCTGTGGGCAAGCTCAGTTGTTCAGCATCATTCTCCCTCCTTCTACCCCCGTGTGTGTACGCGTGTGTGTTGGAGGGGTGGGCAGATCCGTCCTCGGGGTGGGGGGGAGGATGCGAGGGCACCTGCCCTCCCTCCCTGCCTCCCTCCAAGCAGACAGTGTTCAGAGAGCTGCAGGGGGAGTACTGATGGCAGAGAAGCTAAGGAATGAAAGGATATGTGGGAGAGGAGGAGGAGGAGGGAGAGAGGAAGGCCATGAGCAGGAGGAGAGAGCAAAGGGCAGGCAGGCAGGGGGAGAAACGAAAAAATCTGGGAGGAGAGGAGAGGGAAAAGGCCTGTGTAGCATCCACCCGCCCCGCCCCCCTGCACATAACTGTGTGAGGGAAGCCACTCTTGGAGGCCGCAGGAAGCTGGAGGGTGAGGGGCCCACCGCAGCCCACTGCTCGCCCATGCGACCCTCCCCTGAAGTATGTACATCACTGGCTCGGATTCATTCTGCTTTTGCGCCCCAGGGAGCCCAAGCCCCGACTCTCTCGGCCAGGCTCTCCCTGTTGTGAAACGGGGATAAAGTAACTGACCAACATGGGATGGGGGCAGAGGGGAGGATGAGGAAAAGGAGGGGATTCAAAGCACTCCACATCTTCGGCCTGTAGTTCCCACGGTGCCCAAGCCCTGCCTTGACGGGTGAGGCTGATAGGAGTCGGGGTCTGGGAGGCACTAAGTTGTGGAAGGCTGGGCAAGATGGTTTCTAGCATTCTTTCTCACTAGCTGATAGTAATTCTTGGCCTTATTATTCCACAGGTGGTGAATTCAGCCCTGAAGTAGCTGAAAGAGAGAAAAGTTCAAGCGTTCTTGGACGGAAGCACCCAGTAACATTCCTAGGCAGCGAGACAGTTCCACTGCGCTTTCAGCTTCACAGCATCCCGCTTATCTCTCTGCCTTAAGCACAGCAACCATTTTTTAAAAAATTAAGCTAAGCAGCGTTATTAGACTTATATTAGCTGCTTAAAGGTTCACTAGATCTGTTATCTCTGAATTGGAGTTAGTTATGAAATTCCATCTTTTTTGGTTAGGTTTGGGCCTTAATTAATTTCCCAGGAGAAAACCTTTTAAAGTTATTATGCGAAAAGAAAAAAGGAAAGAAAAATGCAAAGATCGTTTTTTGAGGAGAACGTTACTTCTTTCCTTCCCCCTCCCCTCATTTTCTTTCGTTGCTCATGAACTGCAGTGTGTATGTTGGAATTGCTGCAAACTGGATACAACCTTCTCTTCTGATCACTGCATTCTTTGCTTTGAGATCAGGGGACTGGGGACGTGCAGCAGGTCGAGCACTAGAAGCTGGGACTTCAAGAGGGCCACCTTTGGCCATTGAAGGCCAGGCTGGGGAAAGTCTCCTGGGATGGGTTACTGGAAGGCAAGCGAGTTGAGGTGGGGTGGCTGGCACTCAAAAGGGAGGTTTTGGAGGCACAAGCCTTGACGATACCTCTAGTCAGTAAGGTGGGGAGGTGGAGGAGAGGCCGCCATGGATGCAAAAGGAGGTGGTTAGAGGGATTAGACGAAAGAGGAACCTCTGTAGGAAATGGCTACTCGGGGAAATAGACAAAAGGGTATACCGGGAGGAGGAGGCCCGTTGCAGGAGGGTTCTTCACAAGGCTAAGGCTGATTATGAGCTAAGACTTGCCAAGAATGTCAAGAGCAACAAAAAGGGCTTCTTTCAGCATGTAAATAGGAAGAGGGAGACAGGTATTGGGACCGCTAAAAAAGGAGGAAGGTGATCCAGTGAATGATACAAGGGAACAGGCACAGATGCTTAATTTATTTATTCATTTATTCATTTGATTTATATTGTGCCTTTTTCCTACAAGGGCTCAAGGCAGTTTACATCTCCTCCTCCAGCTTATCCTCGAAACAACAGCCCTGTGAGGTAGGTTGGGCTGAGAGTCTGTGACTGGCCCAAAGTCACCCAGTTGGCTCCATGGCTGAGCGGGGACTAGAACCCAGATTGTCTGAGTCCCAGTCCCGTGCTCTTAACCACAACACGACACTAAATGCCTATTTTGTCTCTGTGTTCTCCCCAAGGCAGGACGGGGAAGATCAGCATGGAGATTAGATGAGACTGGGGACTTAGGGGCACAGATTAGAGTCACCCCCCCCCATTGAAGTCGAGGAGCTCCTCAGGGCATTGGATGTTACAAAGGTGCCAGGCCCTGACGGGTTACATTCGAGAATACTTAGAGTTAGAAGGGGTTCTCTCACGCCCGCTGGCCTCCATTTTTGAGGCCTCATGGAGAACGGGTGAAGTTCCAGAGGGCTGGAGGGTGGCATCAGTGGTCCCAATTTTCAAAAAGGGTAGTAGAAAGGACATGGGGAATTACAGACCTGTTAGCCTAACATCCATTATAGGAAAAACAATGGAAAGGCTCATAATAGGGAGAGATCTAGTGATGCTAGATAGGGAAGGGAGGCTGACAGGCACACAACACGGCTTCCACAAAAACAGGTCCTGCCAGACAAACCTTGTGGAATTATGACAAGGTTTTGAGATGGCTGGATGGAGGGGATGCAGTGCATGTGGTATACCTAGATTTCAGCAAGGCCTTTGACAAAGTGCCCCATGATATCCTGGTGGAGAAACTGAGGAGTTTGGGGATACACCAAAGCACTGTCTGGTGGATTAGGGCATGGTTGACTGACCAAAAGCAGGGGGTAACCATTAGTGGGGAATCATCGGGATGGTGGCCAGTGACAAGCGGGGTCCCCAGGGCTCTGTCCTGGGGCCGATCCTGTTTAATCTTTTCATTGACGACATGGAAGAAGGGGTGAACAGTCTGCTGATCAAACTTGCAGACGATACTAAAACTGGAGCGGTGGCCACAACTGAGGAGCAGGTACTCCAGATCCAAAAGGATCTGGACAGACTATGGAAGTGGGCAGGAGACAACAGGATGGCGTTAAATGTGGATAAGTGCAAGGTCTTGCACTTGGGGCATGGGAATGGGTGTCATAAGTACAGGTTGGGTGACAAGTGGCTGGAGAGCAGCACTTGTGAAAGGGACCTTGGGGTGCTGGTCAACTGCAGGCTGAACATGAGCCAGCCGTGTGATGCGGTGGTCAAGAGG